CTTGGCAATGGGCGCACTCAGCTTATGCTCTTGAAGGAAAGTGATGTGCATGGGGCCAACGATCTTCCTTGTGGCGGCCTCGTCCAAAACATCGATGGCCTGCGCCCAAGAAGAACAATTGAAGCCTATGAACTCGAGCCCCACATTGCGCGTGCCGCCCTCGCCGCGGCGACGTGGGGGGCCAGTCTTCGGTGAACTTGACCATCGCGAGCAGAAGTGTGGCTCCTGCCCCGCCTGTGGCTCCTGCTGAGAGCCTGACCATGTAGAGAAAGATGTACTGGGTACTGCGGCAGGAGGAGACCCGCTGTAGAGCTCTGGCTCCTGCCACGTGCTGGACTCGCGCCATGAGCCCGACCATGTAGAACATTGTGTACTGGTACCTGCAGCCGTGGAAGCCAGACTGCCGAACCCGCGCGGGCTAAAGAGGCACTGGCTTGGCCTCTGCCTCCGCCCTGCGAGCCCTGGCGCGCTGCAGGGCGTCCGCCAGCTCCTTGCCAGCTGCTTCGCGACCAGCATCAGGGCCAGCATCAGCGCTGGCAGCGCCTGGCGTCGCGCCCTGGGATCCCTGCGGCCCCGCGGCGGGCTGGGCAGCCTGCTGGGCCTCCTGGGAGGCCTGGGCAGGCGCCTGCGGCGGGCCTCCCTCGGGGCTCTGGGCCGCTGGGGCCTCTGCAGCCGCCGCCCCCGCAGGAGGGTCCTCGCGCTTGGCCTGGGCAGGCGCCTGCGGCGGGCCTCCCTCAGGGCTCTGGGGCGCTGGCGCCCCTGCTGCCGCCGCAGCCGCAGGAGGGTCCTCGCGCCTGCGCTTCTTGAAGGTCTCGCGGAGCACCCTGATCCCCTCGAGCTGCTCGCGCTGGGACTTGAGGGCGTCGGCCCCTGGCCCGAAGTGCGTGCGGGCCGCCTGCTGCACCGACGCCTCGAATGTCTGCTTGAGCTTGTTGAACTGCTCACGCTGCTCTGATGTGATGTCCAGCCCCTCCAGGTCGAAGAGGGGGCCGTCCTCGATGACAAAACTGGCTTCGCCTTCGCCCAGCAGGGCAGAGAGGTTGATGACCCCGCCGCCCTTGTTGGACCCCTCAGGCTGAGGATCCTTGGCTGGAGCCGACAACGCCTTCCTCTCCTTCGCCAGCTTGTCCTCCGCGACCACCAGGGCGTCCGCCGCCGCATCGGAGCGAGACTGGCACTCGTCGAGCCAGAGCTTGGCGTCGGCCAGCTGCTTGGCACGCTTCTCCAGCTCCCGACGAGCAGCCCTCTCCGCCGCAGCCGCCCGCTGGATGCCTTCCTCCAGGAGCGCGGGGCGCTCTGCAGGGGGCGGTGGGGCGAAGGCGCTCTCGGGCTGCTGGAGCGCCTGCCGCTGGGCTTCCGAGACGGCCTGCCCGCCAAGGGTCTGCACCACCTCGCCGATCGCGAGCGGCTCGGTCCTCTGCGCGGTCTCCTCGACGTCCTGGTACCAGTCGGCCTGACCTTTGCGGTTGTCCTGCCACCAGCCTCTGCTGCCGCTAGCCCAGACGCCACGGGGCTTGGGAGCAGGGGAGTACGATGGTCGCAGGGCCTGCCCACAGCTGTAGCACGACTGCTTGTTCTTGTAGGTCCACCGGTAGCCGCGTAGAAGGTGGACGAGGAGGAGGAGGAGGCTGAGTAGGAAGAGGATGCTGATGATGATGGTGATGATTATGATGATGATGATGATGATGATGATGATGATGATGATGATGATGATGATGATGATGATGATGATGATGATACTGATGATGATGATGATTATTGATGGTGATGATGACTCTGATGATGATTATAATGATGATGATGCTGCTGATGATGCTGCTGCTGATGACGATGATGCTGCTGCTGGTGATGATGATGATGACGATGATGATGATGCTGATGATGATGATGATGCTGATGCTGGTGCTGATGATGTTGATGATGATGACGGTGGTGGTGGTGATGATCATGCTGACGATGATGATGATGATGATGATGATGATGCTGATGATGCTGATGATGATGATGATGATGATGATTGGGATGCTGATGATGATGATTATTATGATGATGATGGTGATGCTCATGATGCTGATGATGTTGATGAGGATGATGGTGCTGATGACGAGATGCTGCTGCTGATGATGATGCTGATGTTGATGATGTTGATGATGATGCTGATGATGATGCTGATGATGACGATGATGATGCTGATGATGCTGCTGCTGCTGATGATGATGATGACGATGATGATGATGATGATGATGATGATGATGATGATGATGAT